AATGGACTTTCACAACTCCTGGTTTTCATAAATTTGTTTCTACGTCAGAGCAAGTAGCTTGATTGTGATATCATACAGAAAGTACACTGTGACCCGCCGATAATCCATTGAAAGCCCTAATATTATCGTCAATTTACACGTGCGATCATTTTCTAATGGCCAACCGCTAGCAGCGATCGGGTATTCAGGTTTTTTTCTCCATTTTTAAAGGGATCGTTTAACAATGTTAAATCTGAGATACACGGCCCTACGTGTTATCAGTGTCTGTGATATGGTGTAATATTGAAGCCCTAAAAAAATTGCGCTTCAAAATGATCAAAAAGTGCCTCAAAAAAGCAAAAATCTTTGAGTGACCGGTTTTACCATACTCGTTTTCCCCAATAGACTGTAGTGTTATGAAAACCGTCAGGCGAACGGTTTTCAAAATTTGTAATTCCAATCATAAATATCTTGATAATCAGACAGGCGATCGGCTTGTAAAAGTCATGGGGCTCCTGACTGACCTTAAGGTTTATTATTATAATATTTAATATTTGTAATCGACAACTAGTTATTTGATTTGTTTTGTTTTGTTTATGTATGTGAGACATGAGTACATTAAACGCCATTTTACCTACTATTATGATGATCCACTATAAGTTACGATGATACTATGTGTATATGATGTTTTAATCAAAATGAAAAGGATCAATAAAACATCAAATACAAAAAATAAAAATATAAATCATTTTACTTACCCCCATGGCATTATTTTACTTACCCCCATGGCATTATTTTACTTACCCCCATGGCATTATTTTATCTACCCCCATGGCATTATTTCAATTACCCCCATGGCATTATTTTACTTACCCCCATGGCATTATTTTACTTACCCCCATGGCATTATTTTATCTACCCCCATGGCATTATTTTAATTATCCCCATGGCATTATTTTACTTACCCCCATGGCATTATTTTACTTACCCCCATGGCATTATTTTATCTACCCCCATGGCAATACCCCCATGGCATTATTTTACTTTATACCCCCATGGCATTATTTTACTTACCCCCATGGCATTATTTTACTTACCCCCATGGCATTATTTTATCTACCCCCATGGCATTATTTTAATTACCCCCATGGCATTATTTTACTTACCCCCATGGCATTATTTTACTTACCCCCATGGCATTATTTTATCTACCCCCATGGCATTATTTTAATTATCCCCATGGCATTATTTTACTTACCCCCATGGCATTATTTTACTTACCCCCATGGCATTATTTTATCTACCCCCATGGCAATACCCCCATGGCATTATTTTACTTTATACGCCCATGGCATTATTTTACTTACCCCCATGGCATTATTTTATCTACCCCCATGGCAATACCCCCATGGCATTATTTTACTTTATACCCCCATGGCATTATTTTACTTACCCCCATGGCATTATTTTATCTACCCACATGGCAATACCCCCATGGCACTATTTTATTTATCCCCATGGCAATACCCCCATGGCATTATTTTACTTACATCCATATTATTATTTTACTTACCCCCATGGCATTATTTTATCTACCCCCATGGCAATACCCCCATGGCATTATTTTACTTTATACCCCCATGGCATTATTTTACTTACCCCCATGGCATTATTTTATCTACCCCCATGGCAATACCCCCATGGCACTATTTTATTTATCCCCATGGCAATACCCCCATGGCATTATTTTACTTACATCCATATTATTTTTTTACTTACCCCTTGGCATTATTTTACTTACTCCAATGTCATTATTCTCCTTATTATTATGGGGGGGGGGGGGCAAAGAGAGATAAGCATTTCGTCACGAGAAGGAAAATCGTATTCTTATAAATCAAGTACCATTATGAAAATACACTAGGCATAAGCTTTGGAATTCCCTTTCTGTTGAACTTAAATTTAGCCCATCACTTAACTCTTTTAAAAGAAAACATAGAAAATATATAATTAGCTCCTACTGTCATGACTATTGATTAACTTATTCTGTTTTATAATGTTTGTTGCACTTATGGGCCCGAATTCACAAAGGAGGTCTGTCGACAAACCTCCTTTGCGAATTCGGGCCCATGGCGTTCGTTTATATTCTGTTTGATTTTACTTGTTTGGTTTGTTAAGTTATGTTCTGCGCTTGTAGTACTTTATCGTCCAATTTATAATTTGTTAGGGTTCTACCTCGAAATGGTCTTTGCGGGTTTATTATCATCCTTCATTTCTCCTTCAATACAATACTCAGTTAATGACTCCCCGATTACATCAATATCAATATTCAGCCGGCTTTTATTCGAGTTGTATCTTCTTGAACAATCTTGTTACATAATGCCATATAATAAATGTTTTGAACATCAAATAATTTCAGTTTTTAAATGCGAAAGATTTAGCTCATTGTTTTTTTTTTTTAAATATAAAATAATTTCATATAATGTAAATATTTTTTTTTAATGAATAATTTCAATATCAGTGGTGAACGTTTACACCTATGATAATAATAATAATAATAATAATAATAATAATAATAATAATAATAATAATAGCTAGTTCTTATATAGCACTTTTCAGGACCGAATGCCCTCTCAAAGCGCGTTACAGATATCCTGACGGTATATGTGCGTCCCGGAAAAGACGAAACCGAGAATTATCGATGATTTATCATAACTTAATCACAATTATATTTAATAAATGACACATATTTGTAAAGCTTAGACCCTCTTAATTTATTTGATGCAACCCATATGATGCATATTTCACGTATGAGTGATTAAAAACAATTTGAACAGAGGAAACCAAAATGTCATTTGGCGGGCGGTATTTGAATTTCAAAGAGAAAATCACATTTCTATAAACACCTCTATCAGGAAAAATGAGCAAGTAATAACAAAGTTCTGTTTGTTTAAAGTAATGCTTGCGTTTCCATAATTTGAATAAACGAGTTCGTTTTCACTGGCTGCCTGCCGTAGCACCAAACAGAGTTGACAAAAGACTCAACTCCGTTTTGTTGACGATCAGCCATGCAAAATGAAGACTCAAGACATGATGCATAGCTGATCGTCAACGAAACATGCGGTCCACACCCACTCACCCCTTATCTTTATATAATCTTGTCCATGTAGTTCATAATTCTACCCTTGTGCTTCCACATTGCGTCTTATAATTACGTTGATACCTGTTCTCTTCCGTATTTTCCGTAGACACAATAAATATTTTTTTTTATTGAATAACATGTTCACTTGTATAATTATTTCTGTGTACTTTTTAAAATGTTGTTTGTAATTTACTTATTGTACATAATATTATATTTTTTTTGAAAATGGAAATAAAACTTGCAACTTGAAACATGTTGATTATTTTGCTTAATTGTTTTCTTTTTCAGGTATGACGCAGGCTTGGTCCTAAGCTAGGAGAAGGCTTAATTAGAAGGGACAAAAATAGAAACAATGATATTGTGGGTAATGTTTTACCACACGCTCTATTGTTGCAATATACATGTAAATATGCTCATCTGACCATAATTAAATGCCTCAGACCCCAGAGTTTCCGGGGGCTCCGCCCATGGATCCCCGCTGGGGCAAATTAAGCCCCTTGACCCGACGCCAATTTACGCTCCACTCGCTTCCCTCGCTGTACGCTCTACCTGATCGTTAATGCACCACTTTGAAAAAACGTTCCGCGCGGCCTGCATGTAACATTTAAGAGTGGTGGAATGCCGATTTTTCTTCTCCCCCCCCCCCCAAACGTTTTTGCTGTGAGAATTCTTTTTTTTTTTTACCAGAACTCAAGTTTATCTTTAAACAAAAGTATGTTGTTCTCATTTTCACTTTGTCTTTCACCTTGTGCCGCCCGGGAAGTGCCCTCTTCCACCCCCCCCCCCCCCCCCGTAGATACGCAACTGCAGACCGTGTAATGATGCCAGCCAAGTCACCAATATATCTCCAATAATTATATCGAATTTAATGACCATTGCTTAAATAATAAAGGCTATAATCATGGACCTATTACGAATGGACATTCAACGTGATTCTTTCTTTGATCCAATAATAGTCACCGCCTTCTGATTATGTGCATCTTAATGAGAACATTCAGCTGTTTTAACAATAACGACTGCGTATGCATTTTCGGGCATTGACAAAGGAGCAGTTTCCCTCTCTTGGGTTTTGTTGGGATGGTGTGCTCTGTAAGAATATGTCTTCAATAAAAAAAATCCCCAATGGGGAGCAGCAAAGTTGAAAAGCAGATGATTTTGGTGATATGAAATTTATTATTACTGATTTGCACACTTTGCACGCACCAATGACCTTATAAAACAATTCGATGGCCATGATCTTTATAAGCCCTGCACGTTGTAATTCTGGAATATTATGAGGAAATTGGGGAAAACGGGATTTTAAATCACAGACAATTCAAACAAAACCTATCTGGTGATATCAACATGTTTTTCAAAAATAGAACACAGTACACGGAACAACAATTTCCTATTATTAACCAGAACTGCACATCGATTTCCAATGATTAAAGCGATTTATTATCTTCTGCGCATGTAGATTAACATGTTAAACATCACTATCTTGATTCTGTCCCGGCTTTTTGGCGTTGGACCTCATGAGATCAAAGTGAAGAAATATGAACGGAATGTTATTGAGACGACATTGACGGAGACAATCACAATGAATTCGTTAAGAAAACGATGAATGTCCATTCGAATACGTCCATGTTATAATCAAACAAGGACAGTTGACAAAACTAAACGAAGATGGTGATGTAGAAATAACGGTTTGAGAAATCCTGATGTATCCCTGATATAACATACAAATGTTGATGAAATAATATATTACAAGATACCTTATAATCATCATAACAACAAGTTTTGGTAATCCATCTATAATACAGTATGGTAACGGAAATAAAATATGACAGAAAACCCGCAACCATAAACAAATTGGGTATTAAGCAAACATGTCAATAACACATTAGATTGATGCAAAGAAACTTTTAATCTCATTCAATTCAATCAAAAGTGGTTTATTAGACAACAAGTTTTGCAGCAATAAGCTGGATTAGAAATAACATGAAAGTTCAAATTGCGTAAAGAAATCTATTATACAAATCGGTTTAAAATAAACCCTGTCTAATTACTATACAACTCTTGATAGATACATACCGTGCTTATTTTTAATAATACAATATAACAAAATATGTAAAAAGTAAGTACGAATTATAACACTTAATTAATAAGACCGACTACTCCATGAAATAAAAGCGTAAAACTGTTACCTGAAATTCAAAGAAAGTTCATAAATTAATTATGTTTGACATCGTTTATCGTGGTTACATAACATGGAATATCAGGCACCCTTCCCCCCCCCCCCATTTTTCTCTTTCTCTCTCTCTCTATGATTTAATAATTAATAAAACAAAAATCATAAGCAGATTTAATGACGTATTTACAAAATCCCCTTTTTGTAATCTAACTTGACATAATCATCATTCATGGCTTCGTCCAGCATTGACTGTGAAATCTGAGGGAAATATTTGGCAAAAGCCTCTTTGATCTCTTTACGAGACCTGAAATAGGACTTCGAAATGCATCCAGGCTCATTCTCTATTAATAGAGTAGTGTTACTGATACAAACAAAGCGACCGTCAGGAAACGCCATGCATCTGAGGCTGGTTAGAAAGAAATGTCTAGGCATATCATCAATGCTGACATATCTCGGTGTCATGCTGGGTTTAAAGTGGGCTACCTCGACACCTTTCTTGAAATTAATGCGGATAAATCGGTACCAACCATCGGTGACAGGAAAGGCTTCCATGGTCTGCTTGGCCGGGTGACCGTCGACTTGATGCAAACAAAATATGACGTCATCTTGGCGGGAAAACTTGAAACGCAGGAAGGACTCGTGGTACACAGGTGACTCGTCCTTGAAGTCGAAGGGAACTGCGCAAAAATACGGATTCCCGTTCCCGACGTCGGCGTAATGCCTGCTGCCCTCACTTGTCAAATTGTGGACGATTACGGCGGCATGGTCGCTGGGTTCTTCGATGTCGCAAGCGATAAGCGTGACATCAAAACCCAAAGCTTGGAGGAGGAGATAGAAGAAGACATTCTGTTGGTAACAAAGTCCGCCTATCTTATCGGTAAGAATATCCTGCTTGATCTCGGCTACGGTAGGAACATGTCTCTTGCGGTGGGGCGTGGCAATATTTTTGAGGTTCTGGAACGGGATGTGATGGAAATACGCTCTAAGGAGGTCTTGAAGAAAGTCCTTTGGACTCGCCTCGAACTTGGTGGACGGCGCAGGGATGCACAGGGCATCACGCACGAAGTCAAAGGCTTCTTCCGGTGTAATCATCGTTTCATCTGTGGATCCCGACATTCTCTGAGGTATCAAAAAAGAAAAGAACGGAGAACTATTTCGTTACATTTTATCAATATGCCTATTTCATCTTTAGACCTCATCGTTCGTAATCAAACACATTCCTCAACTTAAGCAGGGCTCCCACTTAGCCGAGTTGTATTGGCGAGTAATGGCGAGTTGTATTGAGTTGCCTCAAAGAGGCAATCGCAGTACTCGCAAATACCTCTTCTTGTAACTCGGGATAACGCGCGACACCTTGGTATGGCTCGGCGTCACTTTTTACAACATTCCACGGCTCTCCTCGAAGTCGCGAGCAGTTCCAAAATTTTGAACATGTTCAAAATTTTCCCTGATTCGCTCTCACTCGAGGTGAACTTGCTTACACTCGTAGTATACTCGCATTACTCGTAACAAGCTTGCACTGCACTCTTCATAACTCGTAGCAACACGCCACCTTCAAGTATATGTGAGTGCTATTCGAGTTTCCAAGAGTGGAGTACGAGCACGGTGATCGTGCTGCGAGTTACCTACGATATTAACGCGAGATTAGATCGAGTACGCAGACTTCAGGCGAGTTTCGTATGAGCATGAGCAGAGTGCAGGGCGAACATGACGAGCTTCACGAGCGCACCATGATACGTCAGCTGGCCTACAATTATGCAGAGGATCAAGGGCAGTTATTCCTCCGACATAATCAGCAAATATGCTTCTGGCATCCATCTTTATTTTAGAGAGCACCAAAATCAGAGGCAACCCTCTCCGGGGGGGGGGCTGGTGAGCAGGGAGTAGGCAGGGGGCACAGTGCCCCCACTTTTTCAAGTACTCGAAATGTGCCCCTTTTTACATACGAAAAGTGGCCCTTTATCTTTGACAAGTGCCCCTATTAACTTGTGGAATTGCCCCTACCCCTTTTTACCTCTTACAAGTGTCCCTTTTATTTCGATAAGTGCCCTTTTTCCTTCGACAAGTTCCCATTTTCCTTTGCGATAAGTGCCCCTTTTCACTTTTGATAAGTGCCCCCTTTACCTCTGATAATTTACCTTATTAAAATCTGAGATGTGCCTCTTTTATTTTGACAAGTGCCCCTTTTCCTTTGTAAGCAGTGCCCCTTCCCCCGTTAATAACTATCCCCTTTTAAACTCGGATACGCGCACCCTATATTTTCACATGTTCACTTTTTCATTTCTAATAAGGTACCTATCCCCTTTTTATAAAAGCCCCTTTTCACCTCTTATAAATGCCCTTATCAAAATCAGATGGGGGCCCCTTTTCCGTCGACAAATGCCCATTTCCTATTTTTATGAGTGCCTTTTTTCATCCCTGGTGAGTGCCTCTTTCAGAAGGTGTAAGAAGTGCCTCATTTTCACTTCTGATAATTACTCTTTGTACTTTGACACGAGCTCCTTTTCTTTTCTGATAAGTGTCCCCTTTTCCTCTCATCACTAAAACGCGCCCCTAATTTCAAGCGACTAACAGCACCTCCTCCTAAAGTTCACTCGCTCCGCTCGCTCGCGTTTATAGATGATATACTAATGTTAATTATCAAAGGTATTTTCAGTCTAGCTTCCGTTATAAAAAAAATATGCATATAACCCCATCAGGATAGGGTATTTTGCATTTTATAAGATGTAATTTTTCGCACTGCGACCTCACAAATCTACAAATTTCCCCGCTCCATTCGCTCGGTCGCAAATAATTTTGAGGACCATCACACTCAACTGCATAGTAATATGATGCCTAAACAATATTTTGTAATGTGTGCAAAGTGAAACAAATATTGAAATTATCCCTGATAATGTAATCACAATGTAAGGGTATATACCAATGTCTCAAAACATTGTTTATTTTCGCTTTGAGATTTCCCTTTGAAGGCGCCCTTTTTTCTTGGTGCCCACTCCCCCCTCCAACTTCGGAAGTCGCTTGGCCGCCCCTGGCCAAAATGATGCATTTCCCGCCCCTTGATCGCATATGAATTGTAAAAATCTCTTATTACTCGTTAGAAGATCTTGATAACTTGTTGGTAGATCGGTACAAGTCGTACACAAGTCATAGTAACTCATACCGAGCTCGCGTAAGTCGTACATCCATCGCAGGAAGCTCGATAATGCGTCGTATGATAATTCATGCAAATACCATACAAATTAGTAAATTTCAAGCGAGTTCTCGCGAATTTACGCGAGTTCAACCTCGCGCCAGCTCCCCAAACTCGGGGCTCCAACTCGGCCAAGTGGGAGCCCTGCTTTAGATTGGGCGCATGGACCTAACTTACAGGAGCTATATTGATCAGAAAGATCAATGCCTACGTTAGATGGAATCCAAGAGAAAAAGAAAAAGGATTTTCATATATTTATGTTGCTTTTACTGTGCGTTCAGGCGAGTGGTGGCGCACTTTTACTTTAAGTATCTGTAACATTGTGCAAATTGTATTGTGAAGTTCGTTGAACACTCTCGTCACTAAAGTGCAATTTAGCAAAATACGTCAACCAACCAATGTTGCATGTTTAACCACACAGAATAATATCGAAGGAAATCCGTTCGCGTGCTTAAAGATATGGACCGGTGGTGGTAAAATTGCCAAATATCCATTTAATATTATTTATACTTCAACCTAAATTCGCAAAAAACAGAAATATATGCCCAAATGTTCAATGTTGAAGTGCATTCGCGACATTCTATCCAGGCCGGATCAATATGATAATTTACCAAATACATTACTAATAGGCGGCTTCCCGGTAAAATTTGTATTATCACGTATTATTCAAAACATATTTTTTCACATGATTGATAATAAGAGCTTTCATTTAATTTTTTGAGAGGCCGGGGGCGTTTCCAAAACTGCCCGCCCGCCCAATTAAGACACAACAGTCGTCTGGTCTATATAACACCGAGTGAAATAGATCTAAATGGGGTAAATCAGTTCAAAGCTGCTTTAATACTGAGCATAAAAAGAAAACACTGAACACAGATTCTGAGGGACGTTCATTGCAATTCTAGAATCAAAATTTAACACAAAAGTCATAAAGAAATATTATTAAACCAATACGTTTTCCGAACCTAAATGCGGTTTATAAGTTCCACTCAAAATCTACTATTCACTAAGTTTTATTCGAGGAAGGGCTGAGCCGGGGGAGGAGGGGGGGGGGGGTGGTCACTCCCAACATGACAGGCTACGCATCCACGTCCAGAAAAAGCGGGTGTCTTTTTCAGCTACATGTATATGGCGTCGTCGACGTTTTTCTTAAAAAGGATTTTTTTTCAAGCACTGATCGCACCCCTCCCCCCCCCCCCCCCAAAAAAGGATACCTTTCAGGTTCACTTGTTTCGACGTCTTCGGTTAATGTGCGATACAGACGCCATTACGGTCCATTTTCAGAGGTTGATGGACATGGGTGGGTAGCACTCGGTGTATGAGAGTGACCCCCCCCCCCCCCCGGATACCGAGATTTGAATATTATTACTTAGTTCTCAAATCTGACTTTCATAACCTACAATTAGAGCAAATTGGCAAATTTAAATTTTGTCTGAAATGTGTAGTATAAGTTGAGGGGGTCTACTCTAACATTTTAAGTGGGAAATGAGAAGGAATGGTTTATTGATGACCTCTATGATATCAGAGATCGAAGAGCGCCATCTACAAAACCTTGATCAGCAAACAACAACAGACTTCACTACTTAGGCCTATAGTGTAAGAGTTCAAAAGGAGGTGACGCAAAAGGAAATCATTGTACCATCAACATATTTTGTAATCAAGTTGTTCCCAATAACCAAGAGATTTTGTTTCCATCATTCAACGACACTTCCAAGGTCCATTTTATAGTGAAAACTAATTTGATTAGTATATTCTGTCTTGTTTGTAGATCCTTTTAAGAGGGCAATTCCATTAGTTTAGTGTCATAATCTCAAAGAACGATTTCCATTGCTTGAAACCCACGACCATGACCGGTATATAAACGATGGTCCGCCGCCACCCTTTGGACTTTGGACTTTGATTATTTCACCCTAAAAAGGCCGGGCTATTTGAGGTCTTAGTACGGCCGGGGGGGGGGGGCATTATGATCCCCTTAAGATCTCGGCCGCAAAGAGGCCGATCGGCGCGAAAATTTGCACCCATGTCAAGTGAAGTGTATAGAATAATATGATAATTTCAATTTTTTGAAAAATTCACTCATTTGCATATTTATGGTAATTTATGCAAATAAAGTCATAAAAATCACATTTTTACCCATTATATTATTCATATTTAAGCATTCTTTTTCACTACATATATTCATTAGACCATTCTGAATAATAATACGACAACAAATTTGGAAGAGCCAGCTTATTCCTTATGTTATCCCTTGTTTTGATAATTTCTTATGTATTTCACTGTTTTTTTAACTTATGTATTTCATTGTTTTTGTTGTTTTATTTCATTTTTTACTACAATTGACTCCCTAAACAACCACCTAAACTTGAAACAAGACCCAATTACCCATGTTTGATCTGTTTTGAGGAAAAATGACTTTTCCATATGTTTTGTACACAAATCACGAAAATGAGCGATTTTCGGGCTGACATGCAAAGACAAAAGGTCACGTGACCTTGTAACCGTAGGTCCGATTTTCAAAAAAAATCTTTTCAAAGTTGCGCAAGACTCGAAAGAAAAAAAATCAGCGAGCGGCGGGGCGCCATCCATATGCGTTCCCGAGCAATCGGAAAATTCGTGGAGGGGGGGGGGGCATAATGCCCCCCGGCCTTATTAGGGTTAAACATAAATTTCAGCTCATTACATAGGCTTCACATTGTGCCAATATGTTAATATATAAATTTTAACCTGACTTTCGGTTTAAGCTCGACGGCTTCGCCATGGTTGCATGGTAAATAGTGATAGTAAAATAGTAAATAATGGTAAATAGTGCATCGAGTGTCGGATTCCCCCCTACTTCCCCTTCTTCTTCTTCTTCGTCGTCGTCTTCTTCTTCTTCTTCTTCTTCTTCTTCTCCTTCTTCTCCTTCTTCTCCTTCTTCCTCCTCCTCCTTCTTCTTCTTCTTCTTTCTCTTCTTCCTCTTCTTCTTCTTCTTCTTCTTCTTCTTCTTCTCTCATCAAAGACTATTATTGTAGTATGTTTTGCTTGTATAATCAAACCTGTTTTAGTGGCCATCTCTCAATAAAGACCACCTGTGTATAGTGGCCATGCACTTTTCCTCCCTCGACAGAGAAACGTGTGATGTGAAATGTACCTGTTTAGAAAGGCCACCTGTCTCAGTGGCTTTTTCTGTTTCCCTTCGGTGGCCTTAATAGATTCAGGTTTTACTGTAATTGTTTTCTTAGAGACGTGTATCAATCAGACATAAGTCTGTCACATATTATTTCGTCTGTCATCCCTCTTGACTCCCAATACAAACAAATAACACAATAATACACTTCAATTATTGTGGGATAGCCTGACGACTACTGAGAGCCGGCCGTTTATTCAGTATGAATGTTTAACAAACATTTCTTCTCGTTTCCTTCACTGGAAACCGGACCGACTATGGTCCAGGATTGAAAAAAAAACAGAGGTAAAACTCAACGAGCATAAAAACTCTGAAAAACCTTATTAAAACACAGTCATGTCGTAACATAACATGACACAATGCACTTTTATTGTAAATAACAATTGTCTCGTTGAAAGTTCAAGCTAGAATGATTCAATAACACACTAATTGATGCCACGCCCTGGTCTCCGTGGCAGAATTAGCTCGGACACCTGTACGAGCTACCTATGCAAATTACATTCCATCGGGGCACGGTTCCGGACCCAACATAAGTATACAAACAACATTTGCCCGCTATACAATCGTACCGCAGACAAATAATATTACTTACCTCTATCATCCGATACTGAAAGACACAGGTTCTGGACCAGAGTTAGATTGAGTAGACGAAGACAGAGATCTGAGTTTAGCCTGTCCCTATATAACACCAGCGCCCAGCGGTATACAGCTAAACCAATTCACATCGAAATCAGCGTTGTTCATGCATGCAAATATTCCGGGGTCACTCCAAACATGACGTTTTCCCAAGCATTGATCGCACACACAAAACACAAAGAGGGTGCCTTTTCGGGTTCACATGTTTCGACGTGTCTGATACGCCATTATATAGGGTCATTTTAGAAAAGGTGCGATACGCCAACAGGGTCCATTTCAGAGGTTGATGGGCACGGCTGGGTAGCACTTGTGTATGAGAGTGACCCCCCCCCCCCCCCGCCCAGGAAACTTTAAGCGGGTGTTTAATATCAACATTACATATATGATTTGATTATGATATGGTATGGTATGATATGATATGCCATGATATGATATGAAATGATATGATATTATACGATAATGATGACATGATAATTATGATATGACAGCATGATTATGATATGAAATGTATTAAAATGATATGATGTGATACGATATACTACGATATGATATATATGATATGATATGATGTGATATGATATAGCCTGGAAAGTAAACTTTCATTACTAAATTCCTTTACACTTGTCAATCATTTGCATTAATATTAATAATAAATAAGTCCTCATATTCCTGTTGCAACAAATTATGTTCTAGCCTGGTAGAAATACCATATTATTCCGGTATACGGATCGTGTTCTAGCCTGGTAGAAATTCCATATTATTACGATATACGGATCGAGTATTATGAATATTATAACAATGCCATTGTGAATAACACATATGCTGAGTCATGTATGTATGAAAACAGTCTTCTCATTCAAGTCTTTTACAATACCTGCAAAAAGAACGGATTGAGTATCATGAATATAATAACATAACATCGCATCGTGAATAACAAATATGCTGAATCGTTCATGTATGAAAATAGTCTTCTCACTCCAGTCTTTCACAACAACTTGCAAAAAGACTGAAATGAGTCTGAAATACACAGCGGAGCACAACGATGACTTGTGTAAGACTAACTTTCTATGATCGTTTGGCTGTCCTGTGAAACTTCTATTTATGCCACATGACTGTATAAATTAAGCAACTGGCTGCGTTTTAAATGTTATATCAGGCTAAAGTAATTCGCAGAATTAAAATTATAAATGAAGTGATAACATATCTCTTTATTGCTCTCTCTCTCTCTCTCTCTCTCTGACTCTGTCTGTCTGTCTCTCTCTCTCTCTCTCTCTCTGTCTCTCTCTCCGTGACTCTGTCTCTCTCTGTCTCTCTCTCTCTCTCTCTCTATCTCCATTTGAATTACACAGGTCGATTATACGACATAACGAACTAATTTGAGATAGTTTTTCAGTTATTTGGAGGTATAGGTGTGCTGATCTTCATCCTGACTCTAATCTTCATCTACCGTCAAAGAACAAACTCGATCTACTAGAAGACTAGATATTCCTTCGACTTGGCAATACGCCCTAGCTGATGGCCTTACAGCTCGGTTTTCGAGGCGTAGTTATTAGGGACTTTCAGATTTGCAAGTCGACATAGTGGACTGCTACGTGTGAAATCCTTTTAAGACACTGGCAGTGCCTAAAAAGGATGTCACATTGCCTTAAAAATGATGTCTCACGTAGCAGTCCATTATGTCGACGTGCAAATCTAAAAGTCCCTATTCTTAGTTTCCTTTATTCTAGCGGTTTAGGTGTCGTTGGGTGCCATACAAAGTCTACTATCAGTCACTTCTGTAATATTGTCTTTTTTCGTTTGAACCTGTTAAACATTTCATTGCAAAAGAAGAAAACAAATGAGTCGCCGTTGCTGCTAAATTGGCAATCGTTTTTAATATTATTAAGGGCAGTAGGAATGAGAAGGTTCGTTTTACATTAGGCTTTCTGCCTCACGCTCTCTGTATTACTGTTTCTTTCTGATGAGCGTTGTTTAGATCTGGTTATCTTTTGTAATCTTATGTAAGCTCTTATTTAATATTAGAAATCGATAACTAGTTATTTGATTTGTTTTGTTTTGTTTATGTATGTGAGACATGAGTACATTAAACGCCATTTTTCCTACTATTATGATGATCCACTATAAGTTATGATGATACTATGTGTATATGATGTTTTAATCAAAATGAAAAGGATCAATAAAACATCAAATACAAAAGATAAAAATATAATACTATTTTACTTACCCCCATGGCATTATTTTACTTACCCCCATGGCATTATTTTACTTACCCCCATGGCATTAGTTTACTTACTCCAATGTCATTATTTTACTTATTATTATGGTGGGGGGGGGGGCAAAGAGAGATAAGCATTTCGTCACGAGAAGGAAAATCGTATTCTTATAAATCAAGTACCATTATGAAAATACACTAGGCATAAGCTTTGGAATTCCCTTTCTGTTGAACTTAAATTTAGCCCATCACTTAACTCTTTTAAAAGAAAACATAGAAAATATATAATTAGCTCGTACTGTCATGACTATTGATCAACTTATTCTGTTTTATAATGTTTGTTGCACTTATGGGCCCGAATTCACAAAGGAGGTCTGTCGACAAACCTCCTTTGCGAATTCGGGCCCATGGCGTTCGTTTATATTCTGTTTGATTCAACTTGTTTGGTTTGTTAAGTTATGTTCTGCGCTTGTAGTACTTTATTGTCCAATTTATATATTTGTTAGGGTTCTGCCTCGAAATGGTCTTTGCGGGTTTATTCTCATCCTTCATTTCTCCTTCAATACATTACTCAGTTAATGACTCCCCGATTACATCAATATCAATATTCAGCCGGCTTTTATTCGAGTTGTATCTTCTTGAACAATTTTGTTACATAATGCCATATAATAAATGTTTTGAACATCAAACAATTTAAGTTTTTAAATGCGAAAGATTTAGCTCATTGTTTATTTTTTAAAATATAAAATAATTTCATATAATGTAAATATTTTTAACATTGAATAATTTCAATATCAGTGGTGAACGTTTACACCTATAATAATAATAATAATAGTAATAATAGCTAGTTCTTATATAGCACTTTTCAGGACCGAATGCCCTCTCAAAGCGCGTTACAGATATCCTGACGGTATATGTGCGTCCCAGAAAAGACGAAACCGAGAATTATCGATGATTTATCATAACTTAATCACAATTATATTTAATAAATGACACATATTTGTAAAGCTTAGACCCTCTTCATTCATTTGATGCAACCCATATGATGCATATTTCACGTATGAGTGATTAAAAACAATTTGAAGAGAGGAAATTAAAAAGTCATTTGGCGGGCGTTATTTGAATTTCAAAGAGAATATCACATTTCTATAAACACCTCTATCAGGAAAAATGAGCCAGTAATAACAAAGTTCTGTTTGTTTAAAGTTATGCTTGCGTTTCCATAATTTGATTAAACGAGTTCGTTTTCACTGACTGCCTGCCGTAGCAACAAACAGAGTTGACGAAAGACTTTTAAACTCCGTTTCGTTGACGATCAGCCATGCAAAAAGAAGACTAAAGACTTGATGCATGGCTGATCGTCAACGAAACATGCGGTCCACACCCACTCACCCCTTTTCTTTTACATAATCTTGTCCATGTAGTTCATAATTCTACCCTTGTGCTCCCACACTGCGTTTTATAATTATGTTGATACCTGATCTCTTCAGTAGTCTCCGTAGACACAACACTTCATATGTAATTTGGAAAATTTATCGAGTTCAAAGAATATTTCAAAAGGGTAGAATTAAGGTCATCAGGCAAATAAAAAGATTGATCTATTCCAAACGTCTCATTATCTCCAATCATAGGTGACAAAATATGGGAAACTGTACTCAAATCAACATTACTGATTGCACGTTCATATGATGCCCGAAGGGTCATCATTCACACGTATACACATAAATATACAAGAATAAATATTCACAAAACCAAAGTTATTACTACTATTACATAAAAAGAAAAAGAAACAAAAAAGTTCTTAGAGTACAGAGAAATACTGCAGATTTGTAATGCACCACAGTAATTGCATGATTGATAACAATTGGGAAATGGGTCTCTGTAGAGTCAGTGATAGCTTTAGTGCTAGAGAAAAGTCTTTAATAGTCACTTTACGTCATTTTCGCTCGTAATTAATCGTTTAATTTGTTTGCCTCCACTCGTTGGGAAGAGGCCGAGTATTCTGCCATCGGAAGACCATGCGGTAAGTGTCTTCTCACAATTTTTCGCTTTTGATAATAAGTTAGCGTTTATCATGGTAAGGTCCTCGTCGATCCCCATTCTTGTGCCTTTCAGTTCGCGTCGCTTTAACATGGAATATCAGGCATCCTCCCCCCCCCCCCCCATTTTTCTTTCTCTCTCTCTCTATGATTTAAAAATTAATAAAACAAAAATCATAAGCAGTTTTAATGACGTATTTACAAAATCCCCTTTTTGTAATCTAACTTGACATAATCATCATTCATGGCTTCGTCCAGCATTGACTGTGAAATCTGAGGGAAATATTTGGCAAACGCCTCTTTTATCTCTTCACGAGACCTGAAGTAGGACTTCGAAATGCATCCAGGCTCATTCTCTATTAATAGAGTAGTGTTATTGATACAAACAAAGCGACCGTCAGGAAACGCCATGCATCTGAGGCTGGTTAGAAAGAAATGTCTAGGCATATCATCAATGCTGACATAGATCGGTGTCATGCTGGGTTTAAAGTGGGCTACCTCGACACCTTTCTTGAAATTAATGCGGATAAATCGGTACCAACCATCGGTGACAGGAAAGGCTTCCATGGTCTGCTTGGCCGGGTGACCGTCGACTTGATGCAAACAAAATATGACGTCATCTTGGCGGGAAAACTTGAAACGCAGAAAGGACTCGTGGTACACAGGTGACTCGTCCTTGAAGTCGAAGGGAACTGCGCAAAAATACGGATTCCCGTTCCCGACGTCGGCGTAATGCCTGCTGCCCTCACTTGTCAAATTGTGGACGATTACGGCGGCATGGTCGCTGGGACTTTCGATGTCGCAAGCGATAAGCGTTACATCAAAACCCAAAGCTTGGAGGAGGAGATAGAAGAAGACATTCTGTTGGTAACAAAGTCCGCCTATCTTATCGGTAAGAA